GAAAATGGCTCCTGATGAAATGCAAATTTCCCTCCTAGAGAGACGTTTTAATGGATTAGTCCAACTATTCCCAAACTGTGGCTGGCGAAAAGCTGCCGATCCGCGAGGCAATGTTTCCCATCCTTTCGAGCCCGAGGATCGGTAGAATGACAGTCGGTTTCCAAGGACCTATCTGCTTCACATTGCACAGTCCAAACATAACTCTACAGATCTAATAATTTTATTAGTAATACGTCTAAAACACACGTATTTACAATAACAAATTTAACAACTTTATCTGATATTAATGTAGAGATGTTGTGTAGCTATGTAGTCACTCAGGAAGACGGTTGGTTGATATTTTACTCTCTGTTAACTGGTTAACAGGACAAAGTTAGTCATTCAGTGAGATGGTTGGTTGATGAGTCAGGTCAACAGTTAAAAACAAACACTTTCGACGCACCTTGACAAAACCTAAAGATTATTCAATTAGCAGACATTTTAGCCTTCTAGATTGAACGGTGCTAAGGTTACTCACGCCTTAGAACTTCGCTTATTCATTATAATGGTATTATCAATGGTTGTAAATTTAACAGTACAACCTTTACCATCAATGACGCGATGTTCATGCCAATTTTTACGAAACTCTGTGAATTTTGGTGTTGGAGAAGAAGAATAGAGAAGATCAGGTGGACGGATCGAGTGACCAACGAAGAAGTATTGAGGAGAGTCAACGAGCAAAGAAACATTCTGCAGGCGATTACACGAAGGAAAGCTAACTGGCTGGGACATCTTATGAGAAGGAATGGATTACTGAGTGATATCACCGAAGGCCAGGTTGAAGGAAAGCGAGGACTGGGAAGAAGATTGATACAGCTAACCGACGACCTTAAACAAGGAAAGAAGATGACGTTCCAGGAATAAAAGCGAGAAGCCGAGAATAGGGACAACTGGAGAGCTCTTTTTGGGCAGAGCAATGGACCTGTCGTAAGACAGAACACTTAATAACAATAATCTGTGAATTTGTTCAAATGCATATTTATTCACACATGGGCACGATGCTATAAGACTGTCATTCTTTGCAAAATATGAAACTTGTACTAAAATGTTACTGGGCATCTACAGACACACATCTTTCTCGGTTTAAGAGAATGGCATCTGCTTGCGTCCAGCGGTTCATCTGCTGTGGCTATCAAATTCAGTCGTTGCATTTAATATGAAGTCCAGACAAACCCCTAGAATCCCACTTCGTTTGGAACGATCTATAAAATAACGTAATAAAACATATAACGACACGCACCCTACACGCACTGACACGTGGGCTCGTGATACACGCACAGTGGCACTAGGAAAACGTCGAGACAAGTCTGATGCTCTCTGCGCCAAACACGTTGGAAGTTATAACACGCACATCATTACTAAATGATGCTGTGGGGCAGTTTACAGCGGAGTCCATATGCACTCGGATAATTTTCGTTCAGTACTTTAAAAGCTGATGGAGCCGCGTAGACCGGAAACGGAAAAGAAGAGTGTAAAGTAAAGAGACCACATTAAAATTACATCTGATAAAAAAGAGAATTTGCGAGATTATGAGACTCAGATCTCGATATGAAATTTTATTTATTTATGGTTTATTTAAAGAATCCAATGACAGGATGATTGAAGAAATTGGAATTTATGTGGATGTGGTCGTGACCTAATACAAAATACACGTATCTCTGAATTTGCGCGAAGGGACTAAGATAAACCACGAAAAACTCATGATAACCCGTCTCCGGGCCGAGATCTTTCAAATACGATGTACGCGAAATTCAGTAGCTGGGAAGACAAAGGATCTCATAGAAATAGTGCGTGAGGCGCGTAATGGATGGCTCAGGATAAGCTCTAATGGTGAGGTTCTGAGACACTTCGTATTCCATAAACACGGAGAATGACAATTTTTTTGTAAAAAAGGCAATGCACTGTCCACTCAGCTGCCAAACAACATTCAGTTAATAGGAGACATTCTTATGCATGTAAATATTTTCATCAATAAGAATAACTTCTTGGGATTTATCTACATGATCAGTAAACGATGGGAAAATTTCCAGCAGCTTCAGCCGTCACAAAGAAATGGATGAAGGGTGCGTTTGTCAGTTTAAGGGGAAGCTTATCTGTTTGAACTGACTGAGACTATCAGGTAGAGCCTCTGCACAAACCGGATGTTATTCCTCAGTTTTACTACAGACTTCAATAGATTCTGAACTTCTTACCTGGACTTACTACCGGTTATTCAAAACGGAATTTTATTTCTCTGTCAGTGTTCATACCACAACCACCTGGACGACCGACTTCGAAGAATTATAAATTCCGTTGATTCTTAAAGGTTTGTAGCAACGCTTAACTCATTACATTGTAATTATATCAGACACTGTTATCGCCTAAGGTACGGTATAGTTCATGACTAGCACTGAGATAGTATCCGACGTTTGTACACTACCAATACAAAATACCGGGTCAGTTTCATCCACCTCCAAACCTTAAAGCAAGTTACGAATTTTTGTATAATTTCCTCTCTTACGATAATTCATGTGCAGTACAGCCACGGTGGTCTAGCGGATAGAACGCTGGCCTTGTAATCCTGGGGTCTCGGGTTCGATTCCCGGCGGTGCCCGAATTTATAACTTGTGTTGGGCAAGGCCGTGGTCTAGGCAACACGGAGTTTTCCTCCGTGGCATCCCAACAATTACTCCATTCACACTCAGAAGAAGGCAATGGCAAACCACTTCTGGATCATCTGCCAAGAACGTATATGAACAGGTCCCAGTCCGAGAAAAGGAAGGAAGGATCCTGTTCATATGGACCTGTCCTCAGACAGAACACTAAATAAATAAATAACATTTCTGTAGTTTCTGCCTTTGAATCACCGACACCTATATCAAGTTTTGTTTCGAAGTGTGGAAAAGCGACACATGTAGCAAACAGACGCATGCGTTAATATATTATATACACAGTCACACACACAAATCCCTATGGTTACATTTTCTGCTGATCAATGTTAAGTTTATTTGCCTGCCCGCCCTATTGATTGGAGAGAGAACGCAATTTTTTAACGTACCAGAACATCGTGCCCCGAGCGAAAGTGGAATTTCCGTTCCATGCATTACAGTTGTCGACATCAAATGCAAGTGAGCAGTCAGCTTCACGCTGTGTCCGCATTGCCATCGGAAAAATGAACGGTTTCCAATTAACGAGGAAACTGACTGGCTACACACAGACCGAAATCACTTTACCGGCTGGGGAATCCCAGATGTCATAGTTCACAGAGCGTTGCATTAAGTTTGAGGACCAAAAGGTTGCATGAGATTCGAGGTTCTCACAGCGGCGAAGATGGTAATTGACGGTGGTCTTCCAGATTGCGACGCCCTGAAATTGAAGATGGCATCTTCCTCCAGAAGTTTCCTACCCATGTAAAAAAGTTACCACCACCATCGACACTGTTCAGTCTCTTGCTATTTTCTTGGGAACACTGCTACTGACATAATCTGTTCAGCAGACCATCGTCATGGAGAACAGACAGTGGGTGTCTACAGCCCTGGTCATCGCGCTGATGGTCTCTGTCGTAGCTGGACAAGGAATCCTGTACCCCATCGAATCTGAATCTCGAGCTGTACATTACCTGGACGGCATCTGGAACTTCCGTCTTGCCAACGAGTCTGACTCAGATGTTGGACACAGGGAAGGCTGGTACAGGCAGGAACTTAGGAAGGCGAGTATTTCATTATTCATATTATTCATCTTTCCTTTCCAATTTATGTTCTGCTTGTGCATGTGAGCGCGTGCTTGTACGTGCTTGTGCCGAAGTCCTGGTTGCTTTATCTCTCTTTCTGTTCTTTAAATTTTTCTTCCTTCTTTTTGTCTTTTATCTTCTCTTTTTAGTTCCCTTTTCTTTAATTCCTTTAAATCTATTAAAATGTGACTCTGGTTTTTATTACTTTTGATTTAATTAATTAATATTGTCCGTCTAATCACAATTTAAAATTTAAAATTAAGATAGTTAAAATACCATGTGATGCTCCTTATCGAAACATTCGATTTACATTTGTAAGGACCATCACATGGTATTTTAACTATCTTAATTTTAAATTTTAAATTGTGATTAGACGGACAAGATTAATTAATTAAATATATATTTTCACAATATGACGCAACTCTATCATCTTACTTTTGATGTCACATATTTCATATAAACTGAGGACATCAAGTAAAGTGAACATTTTCATGCAGGGCAGGGGTGGGTAAACACACACCCTTGCTTCCAACGACTATGCACTTAGTAACGATACCAAGTGTTACACTGAAGTACATCAAAGGCTGGAAATTTCTTGAATTCATTTATGGCTGATTTTAGACAGGACAAACGATCCAGATGCCTGTTCCAGCCAGCTATAATGACATCACAGAAGACAAAGCCGTGAGGGACCATGTTGGGGTCGTGTGGTACGACAGGACCTTCTACGTTCCGCGGACATGGAGCTCACCGAACATGAAAATCTGGCTACGTTTTGGTGGTGTTCACTATGCTGCTGACGTTGTACGTTCGTTCTTACACTCTTGTCATTACTTGATTGTTATTTATTTCATTAATTTTTTCTATATTATTTTCTTCAGTCGGTTATTATGCATATAAATTAAATGAATTCATTGAACCCATGAATTTGAACTTGATTCATTGAACTTGTTGAATAAAATGATAATAAATTAAGTTCTCACGTAAATTTAAAGAGTGGTTTTCAAATTCTGTATCATAATCTGTTAGTTATTTCCCTACCAAAAATGTTATGGATAGAATTGTATTAAATATTAAATTTGAATCCTGGGATTAATGAAACTCAGACTTCTGATATTATTGCTTTTACATACTGTAAGATTTTTTTTTTAATTATCAAATTCAAAGATTAATTTCTCACAGTTTGTGAATGGTGAACTGGTGGTGAGACACACTGGAGGACACATCCCTTTCCAGAGTGAAGTCACTTCTATTCTTCAGTATGGACGAAAGAACCTCATCTCTGTGGCCGTTAACAACATTCTCACACACATCACTGTACCCCAAGGAAGTCTTGAGAAGCTTCAGACGTAAGTTAATAAGCGTACATCCACATTTATTCTTATTACGTAAGCAGTCTCATTTCTAAAAGCTGCCTACTAAGATTCCACAATGGTAATGCTGAAGACTTGTATCTAGGAGATACCCAGGTTGGATCTTGTTTGGGTTTTAATTGGTCCATCTAGAGATAGTATCTTGCATTTCCCATCTGTAATTTGTGGTTGACGAAGTGCCACTGGGGCAGCGTTTTTACTAAATACTCTGAGTTTTCAATGTCAATCAACATTTCACCAATTTTTCATACTCATCTATTATGCTATCTGAAGTGTGCAATAGGCCTCACTAGCTGATATGTTACCTCAAATTTGGTTCTATTTGGGGCTTCACTTCTGTCTTTACACTCGGTTGGACTGAGTAATGAGTGATACTAATTTCCACATAATTTCTCATTACAGTGACAGTGGTCCGAAGATCGTCCAGTATTACAAATTTGATTTCTTCAATTACGCCGGTATCCACAGGTCTGTAGTGCTGTACACAACCCCAAGTGTCTACATTGATGATATCTCAGTAAATACAGACATAAATGAAGATACAGGTGAGCCACCCACACCAACGCAAAAAAAAATCATATTTTATGCAGACTGCACTGTTCGGCAAAATGTTTCTATGACAGAGGCAAATAATCTCTCTCTCTCTCTCTCTCTCTCTCTCTCTCTCTCTCTCTCTCTCTCTCTCTCTCTCTCTCTCTCTCTCTCTCTCTCTCTCTCTCTCTCTCTCTCTCTCTCTCTCTCTCTCTCTCTCTCTCTCTCTCTCTCAGCAGTTTTATTTGTGTACTATATATTAGCTTTGTAACAACAGATTTCAATCAGGCACATAACAAGTAAAAGTCTACAGTGTTACCACTACAACAAACTGCTTGACTTTACAGATATCGATCAAGACATATTATTTATGCTAAGAGATAAATATGTCGGACAGTCGTTCAGTAAGAAATTTAATAAAAAAACATTCCAAACGCATATTTCTTGCTTCTTTGTAGGAGTTATTAAGTACAACGTGAGCGCTGGTGGAGAACCTACAAACCATTCCACTGTTTCTGTGAGTCTCCTTGACCGGGATGAAAACTATGTCATCCGTGATGTTATGGGGAATGAAGGAAACCTACGGGTTCCCCAGGCTAAACTATGGTGGCCATACTTAATGGATCCTGACCCCGCATACCTATACACATTGGAGGTGAGAGAAATAAAGACACGGACATCTTACACTCATTAATATGCACCAAAGAATTTTATAATTCTTGCTTTGTGGACAATCCGTTTCAAAATTATACGGGCCCACTAGATAGAGCTAATCCCTATCTCCGAGACCTCTTGGATATTATCCATCGTCTAGTAAATATAAAACGTAAAACGACGTTTCGGAGATGGGACTCTATCTCCGTCTTCAGGTTCCTACACAGTTGGGCCCACTAGATAGAGCTAATCCCTATCTCCTGAAGACGGAGATAGAGTCCCATCTCCGAAACGTCGTTTTACGTTTTATATTTACTAGACGATGGATAATATCCAAGAAAATTTTTATTCAATTGACTCTTCACCATCGCCAAGACGTTTTAGATTTGATTATACTTTTCTACTTAATCACCATCATCATCAACCAAAATGTGGCCACGAGGTTTATTAATTGATTTAACACTTGCCATATTTTGCTCAAATTATTACTTCTTCCTTATTCTGAACACGAGTTATAGATCTAAGGAGGATTTGCGTCGTGTTCTAGTATCAGAACTTTGGAAATGTTCATTATTTCTGTGGACTGCTGATCACTAAGTCCAAGTAAAAGGATTAGGTCCATTGTCTAGTTCTAGATCCATTAATAAATATATTTTCTTATAGTCACCTTTCCCCATGGACCATAGTTCAAAACTCTCTGTAAAATACAATCTTCTTTCATCCTTTTGACATGGACCTACCACGTATTTATATTACAAAAAAATTCAGTATTATTAATTTACACACCGTCGCTCTCCCACTCTGAGGGAAGACAGAGGCTGTTTGGGATCAGGGTGCTGAGGAGAACCTAATACAGCAGAAGTAGCACGGAGAAGGTGAAAAATGAACGATGAGGAGCTTCATGTTCTGTGCTTTTCACTACATATTACCATGGTAACCAAATTTAGGGAGGAAACATGGGTAAAGCATGCAGAAAATATAGGGAAGATAAATGCATACAGAATTTTAGACGTAAATCTTTAACGACTCGCTTCAGGTGCGACTGTCAACCAAAGATGAGGTGCTTGAAGATGTATACCGACTACCGGTGGGAATAAGGAAACTTGGTTGGGGCAATAGCAGTGTCACTATCAATGGTAAACCGATCTACATCAGAGGATTTGGTCGGCATGAGGATTCTGAGGTGAGTGGAGATCGAATGAATTTATTCATACTTCAACAGCCTCCCTTGTTTATAGTAACTGTAATAATTTTATGTACTCGGTAAAACATTTTAAGCAAAGGAGAATAACAAATTGAAAACCAAACCGAGAGGGACTTGTCACCTACTTCTCTGTCAAGGGAAACATTAAACAGAGCTTGTTTTTATTTGGCTACTGTAAACATATAATAAATTTAGTAGAAATACATTGGGTTGGCTGATCTTCTGTTGAAGGAGTACGACCAATTATGGTGTATGAAGGATCTATTATTTCTGAATTGGAGCAGGTCAGATTTTCTACTCCATAGTGTTTTAGCAGCTGAAGTATTAGTAGGGTTCATAGCAGAGAATTTAAAATAGAGTGTGGAAACAGTCATGAAATATTAACATAGCTTGGGAAATGTAAGGAAAACAATCCGAAACGAGTAGGAAATTGCTCGCTTGGGAAACCTAGTCATAGATGGGAACGTTTTATTAAAGTGGATGTTCCATAAAAAGGGTACGAGGATTTGGTTTTAATTAATCAGGCTCGGTATAAGGGACAGTGAAGGACTATGCACCATCAAATTAGTTTATCCCTTAAGGCGGGCTAATAAATAATATAATGACACTCATTACAGATAAGGGGGAAGGGCCACGATTTCCCGCTGATCACACGTGACTACAACCTGATAAAGTGGCTTGGAGCCAATGCTTATCGAACTTCACACTATCCTTATTCAGAAGAGATCATGGACTTTGCAGACAGAGAGGGTATTATGATCATAGATGAGTGCCCTGGTGTAGACATAGGGTAAATACATGTGTTATGATTTCTGACTAATACCTAAGTTATTTAACAACAGTCTTTTAAGTCCATAGTTCATATAACATTAAAAGAGATTTTTACAAAAAAATCTGCTTAATTATTCGTGTTTTTTTCCGTCTAATCACAATTGTATATATTATTTTAGTATTATTTATATACAATTGTGATTAGACGGAAAAAACACGAATAATTAAATTTTAATTCACAATATGACGCAATTATATCAACTTAAAAAATTCTGATAAGAATTAACAAATTAACTTGACTCAACTTTTACAAAGCATGCGAAATTTTAATTACATTTCCTCATTATAATAAATTTTCCCACAAAATATACTACAGCTGATAACTTAAATATTTATAGGCATTGCTTCTATGTAGTTAGTCACACCCATAAATACAGCTGAATAGTAATTGGGTTAATCCTTTAAAGCGCAGTGTTAATTATATGAACCATCTACTTTAATGTTAAGTATCACAGTCTTTCATACACAGAGTGTATTTACATATCTCATGTGGTTCTCTAACAACTTCTCGACGCTGTTAACAATTAATGCTGAAATTGTACAGCCCTTGAAAAATACATCGTGATTCAGGAAAGTTCCAAAGCCACAGCTGTATTATATTTTGTCCACAATAAGTGACTGATGCTAGAAATGTATCCACACTGTCAAGTTATTTTAATTTACTCTTACAGTAGCTATGGCTTCAGTGCAGAGCTTCTAGAGGCCCACAAAACAGCATTAACAAGACTGCATCAGAGAGACAAGAACCGTCCCAGTGTCGTCATGTGGTCTGTTGCTAACGAGGCCCTCACATCATTGCAGGGGGCTTCTGATTATTTCCAGTAAATATTTACCGACTAACTGAATAACCAACTAATTAGGTGACAGACAGACTAATGAAAAATATATTCGACCAATTGCTAACAAAGTAACTAAATCTCTTGTAATGGAACTAGTAAATATTATGATGAGAAGTTTGAGGTTAAAAACGTTCAATTTAATTTTTTATGTATTGCATCCTTTCATCGACTCCAATTATGGAAGTCGCTCATACGAGGGCGTCTACATCTGATAGATCAGTATCCAAAGAAACAGAATATTGCCTTTCAACATATGAATCATCCAACTTACCATATGTTAGAGCCTCTCATAACTCGTTTTCTCCACGTAATAATATCTTAGATAATCAGTAATTATTTTGAGAGATGTTTGTCGCTGTTTCAGAGGTCCTTGCTGCCTCAATGATCAGGACGATGAATCGCCCTGATGACGGAGGCAGTATGACCTCTGAAACGTTGGTTAATATCGACCAGACTACACAGCGCAACAACCCAGAAGACAGAAATCTTCATACTCATCGCCCTGATGATAGAGGCAGTATGACCTCTGAAACGTTGGTTAATATCGACCAGACTACACAGCGCAACAACCCAGAAGACAGAAATCTTCATACTCATCGCCCTGATGATAGAGGCAGTATGACCTCTGAAACGTTGGTTAATATCGACCAGACTACACAGCGCAACAACCCAGAAGACAGAAATCTTTATATGACTAGCCAAACTGATTTCTGGCAACCAACCTTGACAGACTTACTATAATTTACATTTTACATCCCTTATTAGTGTGCTTAATATCTAAAAGCTCAGCATCTGGACTAATTAAAACTGTTTTTCACTTTTAGCGCAATTGCCGACCACATGAAAGTTTTGGAATCTTCTCGTCCCATCACTATGGCTATTAATGCACTATACGATATGGACCTAGTGGTTGGTATTACCGCTTTCTGTGCGGACATTTTAAATCCTTACACTCTTTGTATAGCATAGGTTTATTTATATTGATAAAAAGATTCAAATAGCTTTATCCACCAAGAACAGGGAAAGATCTTTCAAACTACAAATAAAATATTGACACTAATATATTTAGTACTGTTAACAGGCAGCTTCTTATTTTTCACATTTGATAAATATTAGAGGATACCTTTCTGCTCTTTGTTAAAAGTGACGTGATTTTAATGAAATATTAAACTTATATTAATTCAGTTTAAATAATATCTGATGATTTTATTATTCCAGGGTCAGTTCATGGACGTGATTAGTTTCAACCGATACAACGCTTGGTATTCAAACAGCGGAAGAACAGATACAATAACAAATAATGTTAAAGAGGAGGCTAAGAATTGGCATAAGAAATATAATAAGCCAGTGTTAATGACGGAATATGGCGGAGATACAATAGCAGGTCTACATTTGGTATGTAAATATGCAGCTCCTTAAAAAATGACAAGCATATTATAAAGAGTAGATCACAAGTTCTAAAACCATTATACTAACAATACTTATTAAGAAATATCAGTCTTATGCAGCAGTCTATTGTATTGAGAAACCATGTTTAAGTATTGAAATAGAGAAACAGAACTGTTCTTTACTGTTATTATTCATGTGTTTTAGTCACCTGAATATATATGGTCAGAAGAATACCAAGCGAAATTACTGTCCAAACATTTTGAGGCATTTGATGAACTCCGCAGTGAACGTTTCTTTATTGGAGAAATGATATGGAACTTTGCTGACTTCAATACAGCACAAAGTAAGAACCACATCATGTTTCATAAAGTTATTATAAAAAATAAAAATTGTTTTATAAAACTGAAGAAAAAATTTAAATTCCATAAAAATTAGTGGTACGCCACGGTGGTCTAGCGGTTAGAACGCTGGCCTTGTAATCCTGGGGTCTCGGGTTCGATTCCCGGCGGTGCCCGAATTTATAACTTGTGTTGGGCAAGGCCGTGGTCTAGGCAACACGGAGTTTTCCTCCGGGGGCTTCCCCGGTTTCTCCGTGGGATCCCAACAATTACTCCATTCACACACAGAAGAAGGCAATGGCAAACCACTTCTGGATCATCTGCCAAGAACGTATATGAACACGTCCCAGTCCGAGAAGAGAAAAGGATGGAAGGATCCTGTTCATATGGACCTGTCGTCAGACAGAACACTAAATAAATAAAAATAATAATAAAAAATTAGTGATTACTTTCTTATAGTGAATACAGACGTACAGATTCAGAAGTAGAGTTTGCGTACTGTCTCTTCTATTCTACTACGTAAGAAATCCAACTTGAATTAAAAATGTAAAATATTCAGAGATGTTTACTGCTGTTTACTATTTTTCTACAGCTTATGTTCGAGCAGGTGGCAACAAGAAGGGCATATTCACAAGGAACAGACAGCCAAAAGCATCAGCACTTTTAGTAAGGAAGCGCTACTGGGCAATAGCTGAAGAACTTGACAACGTAACACCCCCAAATGATTTGTCTGAGTACGTTTACAAGAATCATTTGAAACACCTGAAGACTGTAACTGAAGAAATCAGTGATGTTGCACTTATCTCTGTGTAACTTTCAACCAAGAATCTGAATCCCGACTGAACAAAAATCATATGGATATTTTGTACCTTGCCAGCAATGCGCCTAATGAATGAGAGTTCAAGATATCCTCAAATGGTTATTTACAGTTATGTATACTTTTTGCCATGCATATAATATTAAGGCTACATAAATACATGTTTTACTATATAACATAAACCCCAGCTGTTAAGAGGCTTAATTTTTAATGTAACAAAGGATCTCGACCACTATAGACCAAAAAATTGATACACCTTTTTGTAGTTTCGTAGGAATTGACCATCCACTCAGAGCCAGTAAACACCTATGAAACGTCGGAAAATTTTTACGAGACTGCACGGCGCAACATCCTAAATGGCAACCATTTTCATACTCTTTGCCATAGAACCTAAATCTGACTATGTACCAAAACCTCCCAGTGACAGCCCTCTCATGTTTGATACTTATAGTTTCTCTTCATAAATATAGTTGAATAAGCTGAAGTCTGGATTACTGGCAGTCACTTTGTGACTGGAGGGCATATTTTGCATCCGACGTTCACAGTTCACAGTTCAAAACCCTTCCCATTCCCGTCCACAATCCATAGGTTCTTCACAACGCCTGTAAATGTACATTTCGGCTACCTGCTTCACAATAGCGTCGGAGAAGTTGCCGCATAAGCACGGCGTTACTTCCTAAATCTTCTTGTGGATTATTCTTTTGATTTTGGAAGTCCACAGATTAAAGCCCTTAGAAAAACACCGTATTGGATACGATGATCTTCGAATTGTATTTATTAATACAAAAAAGTTTGGAGCAGTCACCAATATCGTAGACGCAAACACGCATGCATAAACATTCCTTCCTTTCTCAGGGTATGCATTATAAAACAGTTTTATAAATTGTGAACGTAAATATACACGTTTAATTTCAGTGATTATAATATACACTGTGAGCAGGAGAGAGAAGCATTTATTTAATTTCCTCTTCTTTCTCTCTTTCTAATTTTTGTCTTTATTTTTTTCGATGTTTTCCCCCACCAAATTTATTCTTTACACCTTTCTTATTTTCACTTTATTTACACATTTGTCTCTCGGTATTCTGTCTTCCCTTCATACTCAGGACCCACCAACAGTACCGACTCAGATACCGAGAGCAGTATAATGTTATATTCTTATAACAGAGGGCAGCACGTTATACGTAGGATCCACATTCCAATGGCTTCGTTATTACGGACCTGACGACTAAGCCTGCAGCACAGCAGCTGATGACCTCACCGCTAAAATTTAGGTAGAATGAATGGCGTTTCGTGTCTTCAATTACGAGTCCTTTTTTTAATAATAAATCCCTCTGTTGAAACTCTTAACCTTGGTATATGGTCAGTGAACTTATAGAAAAAAGATACCGACATATTCCAAGTTGGACAATGACCTGAGAATCATGTTATAATCCATCATGGGTTTGGGTAATGGCAATTGGTCTGAATAAAAAATATGAAATATCGCAATAGCATAGCACAAAAGACTGCGTTATTCTCCACACTCTTTTGTATGTCTTCTTTGACGAGTGATGGGCCCGTCGCAAGATTACCTACACATGACATCACAACACAACCGGAGACAGACACACACACACCTGATGCGGGATTCGAGGCCACCCTCCCAATATTCGAGACTGGTAGATCAAGACCCACGTCCCAGACCGCGCAGCTACTACGACAAGCAAAGATACGGTTCCTACCTCAAAGAAAACACAATGCGTCTCCATTACAAACATCAATAATAACATTTAAAGAAACAAAAAAGATAGAAAAGTTGGCACACCTTAATACAGGCCACAGCTGCTTCTATTTATGCCCTTGACATTGAATCACTCTCATGCATCCGTCCAGTCGATTGAAAAATAACATATTCAGTTTAAATAAGTCGTAGCTCGTTAAATAGCCCAATAACTTATAAAAGAGCTACTTTTTTACCGACATGTAAATTACGAGCCGCTCGCTGTCTGCACCTACATATTCCAGTGGCAAAGCAGGAACGTACCGGGCTTTTATCAAATCCAATTTCTACAAACCTGCAATCAACAGTGGAACAATGACCTGTTCAAACAACGCGAAGTAATAAGGATCAGGACGACTGTTTCGTTCTGTGAAATGACAACATGAAAAACCACTCTTTCTTTGATCTCGCTCTGGGTTGTTGATCTCAGGGAAAAGTCTCTTGTGTCATCGCTGACAATTGAACTTACGATCCTGACTGAGTAGTCGCATGGTCTGAAACAACCTTCCCCTCCGGGCAATCGCCGGTGTAAACACTACAAGTGTGAAGAGACGAGAATGCCTCGTAATTCCAGACGGTGGCTGCCAGACCATGCCAGTTCCATGGCACCGATTGAAAGCAGGCAACACACTCGGCCCGAAGGCACAATTCAGGGACTCAGGGAAGCAAGGATCTAAATCTTATTACAGGAATTACAATTCCCCTACACAAACACATACGTTCCTCAGTGGTTCAGTTACAAAACAGTGTGGTCTATACTCTGGAATATGAACATCGCACTCCGCATTATGGAGGTTCCGTATTCGAATCTCAGCCCCGAGAATGGCCATCCTAAGTAAAATTCCCTCAGTCACTTGCTAGGTTGGCACCTCAAAATATGCCTCGGCCGGTTTCTCCCAAATCCTTTCTAATTCATAATTCACAATTACCAGACGATATATATAACCTGTGCAGTTGATAAGGCCTCACCAAATAACCCAACATATTCTGATTAATTTTACTATTAAAGCAGGCTAATGACTTAATTGGAGTTCTCAATGAATCATACGAGGTGCGATCGGAAAGTTTCAAGACTGTGTCAATAGAGGGCGAACCGGATGTAGCACGAGCTTCTGCCGCTAGGGGGTGCGGCCTACATTCATAGTGAATCAGTGTGCCAGCCGGCATCATCGAATCAGCATTTGTTTCTTAGTTACGGGCGTTTTGGTAGTGCATTACACCGACTCTCCTGCGATTTCGGAATGGCGTGGGCATCAAATTTTGCCAAAGACTCGCCAAAACGGCTACGGAAACCTATGAAATGCTAAAGCAAGCATTTGGGGAGTCCGCAATGGGTCGTGCACAAACTTTTGGGTGGCATTCACGTTTTAAAAATGGCCGAACCTCTGTCGATGATGACGAGCGTGCTGGACGACCATCTTCGAGCACAACGCCCGAAAATGTTACGAAGATTCGGCAGGCTCATCCCGCACCCTCCTTATTCGCTGTGTGACTTCTTCCTCTTCCCAAAGATGAAAATTCAGCTAAAGGTAAGGAGATTTGAGACGATAGAAGAGATTCAGGCAGAATCGCAGATGGTGCTTGACAGGCTGGCAAAGAAAGATTTCCAGGGATGCTTCCAGGCTTGGCAGCGGCGCTGGGATCGTTGTGTTCACTCCCAGGGGAACTACTTCGAGGGTGATGGATGAATTTAATACCTGAGATAATTGTACGGATTTTTATACGCGCAGTCTGGAAACTTTCCGATCGCACCTCGTATACCACCAGCTTCGAGTGAAGTTTCTTTCTGTGAAAATAATTTAAATTATAATTATCGGTAATTAATCTTGGGTATATAATGCTTTCTACATTTTTTAAAATTACTTCTGAATACTTCCTAGGAAGACCAATGATTACCCGGCACCCATAATTTTTTTTTAAGTTCTTTTGCTTTGATTTCCCTGAAAATTGTAATTCCGAATTACGAAACAAATTTCTCTTCTTACGACGACTTGCAAAAGATCAATGAATGTCAGTTTTCAGAAGACCGGAAATGCAGGCTCAAGAAGTTGTTCCTTACGGATAGGTTATGGTTTAAGAAAAGCAACACATGGGAAGTTAAGTCAACAAGCTAATGAAGCACAAAAACAGAACTGGGAAATTCAGCGATGGTACCATAAGGCGTCTGTCACCCTTGAAATAGCACTAAAATTCCACTACTCAGCATACTTAAAATCTAGTGTCGTCATGTAACATTTATATAATTTGTGTTTCCACCAGGATGTTATGTCCTGTAACAAAAGTGGGCCGAATATGGTAATTGAAACCGTGAGGTGTTTATTTGAAACAGAGAGAAAGGCAAAATTTTCTTTACACTATTCATTTCCTACAGTGACAAATTACACAGCCTAAAAGCATTGAGTTGACACAACTTTATTCCGAAGTTTTCTTTTCAAGTCAAAAGTTGGTCAGAATAACAATTATCCCTTATTAATATTTATTTATTTATTAATGGTTTATTTAACTACGCTGTGGTGGAATGTGCAGACACACTTATAATATCGGCATTATATGCGTTCATTTTATGCACTTCGTACAAAAAACCCGTGATCAAAACCAGTCCTAACGGTAAAGGTATGGTTATTACCCTACTTATGCACGTTTTCTTGCAGGCTTGCAGCTTTACATTAACGCCCCCCATACATCTTAGGCACAGTAAAAATAGCACTTTACTTTATCGTCATTTCAGAAATTTGTAATACCACAAAGTGAACATGTTGTTTAAAATCACTTGTTCAGTTAGCCATAATAAAATGCGAGGCAAGAAAATTGCTGAAGAGGAGACAGACCGCACTGCCCAATTATTCACACGGTTTGCAATACAAAATTTTCGATTATTATCCAGTCAGACGTTCTGTGTATCAGCCTGTCAGAACACACCCACCAAAATCACTCCTTAATTACACTACTGGTGTAACCCCCCCTTCTCCAATGGCTTTCACCTTTTGGGTCAAGAAATGTATGAAGACTTCAGGGATGCCCATACAGCCAGTTCTGCCAAATCAGGCAGTCCACACAAATTCTCATTTCCAATAGCCTTCTGTTCCCTCATCAAACATAACACGAGACTTCGTTACGATTAGCCTCAAAATATATCTTGAACACAATTACGTTTATGCGTTGTTTGAAACAATTGCATTCAGAAAGAAACATGTCTTGTCGCCAGAAATGCTAAACAGTTTTTAATTAAATTTGGTATGTGAAACCCCCAAGAAAAATTATCAACGGAACTTAATTTCGAATCGAATAGGTCAAATGTACTACGTGACAGGAAGGTCAAACCAACTTTGATGACATTTCTTCAGAGACTATTCTTTAAACAAGTTTGTGCCTGATATACAATCCTGATGAAATTAAGGCCTACAACTTTTATTACAATGATCTGTACATGTTGGAGATTTCAATAAAACAACACACCCAAAACATTTGATGACTCCGTGCTGTGTAAATAGCTTTACAGTACTAACGGTCATTGTTTAAAACCTGAACTGAGTTTCGTCACTAATTTCGTTGATATAACTCCGCGTTATAAATATACTATTCACTAGATCATTTAATTCAATTCCTAGAGTTGCCGCTGGAATGGAAAATATATTATGTTATATATGTCGGACTGGGATCTGTTCATATACGTTCTTGGCAGATGATCCATAAGTGGTTTGCCATTGCCTTCTTCTGTGTGTGCA